TTTTTTTCTTTTTTTGAGACAGGGTCTTTCTCTGTTGCCCAGCCTAGAGTGCTGTGGTCTGACCATAGCTCACTGTAACCTCAAACTCCTGGCCTCAAGCGATCCTCCTGCCTAAGCCTCCCCAAAGTGTAGGGATTACAGGCATGAGCCACCACGCCCAGCCAAGATACTCTATTCTTAATGGTCTTTTGGGCATAGTTCTTCTGTACTTTAATTGAAATATCTTATCCTGTTCTGAAAATATGCTATAGTCTTTTCCTGGTGTCCAAAATTATGAAGTTAGATTATAGAAGTTGGTTTCACCTGTGTCATTCTCCAGCTACCTGGTTAGATACTGTGGGAAATGATGGCTGAGCTGGAAGAGAGTAATTTTCAGGATTTTTTTTTTTATTTTGAAGGTGAGGGGTATACACTGTGGGCTTGTATTAAGTATAAGTAATTAAGTTTTAAATGGCCCTAATCTATAAATCTATTTTTTAAAAAATAGAGATACTGAGTATGGAGGAAAAAGACCTATGTACAAAGATAATAATGGCAGGATTATTTACAATATAAAGAAAACACAAGTAACTCTTGATTTTTAGAAATTAGAAAGGAAATAATCAGAAATGTTTGTGTAAGATATTTATCCCAGATTACTTATTAGGGTGAATAATTGAAGACAACCTAAATATCCAACAATGGGAGATTCACGTATGAGTCAAAGTTAATTAAAAGCACGAAAAACTCTAATTTAAACAGAAAAGGGATTTAGTAAAGGGTATTAGGGAAAGGTGGGTATGTTCAGAACCAGTGTTAGAGGCTGCACAGCCAGAAACGTAGAATTGGCCCAGTGAAGCTATTATTACTGCCACTACTGAGCACAGATCCCTTCACACACTGCCAGTGCTACTTCTAGAAACTAGATAGAGCTGTGGCACTTTTACCAGAATACACTCTCCATGATCACTACTATTTTGAATCATTGACTTCTCATGCAAAGTTTGGAGCACATGTGTCTGATTGATAGACCTAAGTCACACATGTGGCTACTCCCAGACTGCAAGAAAAGCTGGGATAGGTGCTGTCTGTCGTTTAGGATCTCTACAGTGAGAGGCAAGCTCTGTCTGATAATGCTGGGGGTGTTCAAATGCAGAAAAGGAGTCCAGATGCTAGGCAGCCAAAAGGAATTGCAAATGCTCACTATACTTGGTTAATGTTAATATAAGGGAGATCTGAAAAGCATGTTGAGAATATAAAGCTAAGTGAAAAATGAGCCTCCGTTTTATTAAATGTTTTAACCCTGGTCATGAGCTAATGGGTGGTTTTTTCTTCTTTCACCTTGGATATTTTCCAGATTTTCTTCAGTTAGCATTTATTACTTTTAATGTAAAATGTCCAGCTGGTGAGAAAGGCTTTCTTTGTTGTTGGGGGCTTTTTTTAATTTTAAAAAAATTTTAATTGTGGTTACAGTAACATAAAATTGACCATCTTAACCATTTTTAAGTGAACAGTTCAGTAGCATTAAATACATTCACATGGTTGTGCAGTCAGTCTCCAGAAGTTGATTTTCATCTTGCAAAACTAAAACTCTGCACCCATTAAATAGCTCTCCATTCCCTTCTTCCCCCTACCCAGCCCCTGGAAACCACCCTTTCCTCCTTTCTGTCTCTATGAATTTGACTACTCAAGGTATCTCTCATTAAGTGGAAGCATATAAAATAATTTCTTTTTGTGGCTGGCTTATTTCACTTAGGTTATATCCTTGAGGTTCATCCATATTGTAGCACGTGTTAGAATATCTTACCTTTTAAGGCTGAATAATATTCCATTGTATGTATATATCACATTTTGCATATTCATTCATCCATTGATGGACACTTGGGTTGCTTTCACCTTTTGGCTATCGTGAATAATTCTGCTATGAACATGGGTATATAGATACCTCTTCAAGACCCTGCTTTCAATTTTGGGGGATATAGACCTAGGAGTGGAATTGCTAGATCGTATGCTGATTCTAAGTTTCATTTTTTGAGGAATGATATACTGTTTTCCATAGCAGCTGTACCCTTTTACACTCCAACCAACAGTACATAAGGGTTCCAGTTTCTCCACATCTATGTCAATACTTGTTATTTTCTGTTTTTTTTTTTTTAACAGTAACCGTCCTAATGGGTGAGAGGCAGTAGCATTTATTACTTCATATAAAAAAAAATATATATGAATAAAAGGCACCAAACTAAAAATAAAAATTATAAAATTAGAAGATAAACCATTTCTTATTATATAAATGTCATTTAAGGAGTGTGAATACTTTAAAAGCATGTTATAGATTACAGGCCCTGGTTCAGGACTGAGTAGTCTGGCTCCTAGGAATCTACATGGCTTCTTGAGCTGTTTCCTCTCATATCAGTATGTATATTCATAAAGTGTAATCTTTTTCTGAAACTTTTTACCAACCTTTCATTTGAAGTCTAAGTTTCTTTGGCTTTTTTTTTTTTTAAGGCACCTTTCTTGGATGTTCTCAACACCATGATGGATACTTCACTTCCTCTGACATTAGAAGAATTAGAAGAATGGGGGAATCCTTCATCTGATGAAAAACACAAGAACTACATAAAACGTTACTGTCCCTATCAAAATATTAAGCCTCAGGTAGTGAAAAACAGTTATATGATCCTAAAGTGATAGAGAAGATATTAAAAAGATACTTGAGCAGAGGCAGAAATTAGTAGGGCTTTAGAGATGTTTCTACTTGTAATACCTAGACATCTTTCAGTACCATCTCTCCTCATGTTCCATGTTTGTTTCAATTTAATACCTCAGGGGAATAGAGTTTTCATGCCTTAATTACTAAATCAGATAAGGTCTCTTTAGTCAAGAAAAGGCTATTCCAGGCAATAAGTAGTCTAGTACTATAATACTGAGGTGCTCTCAAGAATATAAAGTGAGAAAAAACTCCTAGCACTTAGAGGAAAAAATTGGAGATAAATGTTTTTTATGGTCTATACAGCGGGGAGGGACCGTGAGGAATAATGTAAACTCTTTGTACATGTACTTTCTTCTAGCATTATCCTTCAATTCACATAACAGCTTATGAAAATGATGAACGTGTACCTCTAAAGGGAATTGTGAACTACACCAAGAAACTCCAGGAAGCCATCACGAAGCATACTGAAGACATGGGTGAAGGTAGGAGATCATCTAGAAGCAGAAAACTTGGCCAAACAGGCTAACACCCTCAGCACACAGCTCAGAGTAATATTACGCATTTCATGCTACAACCAAATCATCTGTCCAGAATTTAAGACAAACAGTTGTTTTCCTATGTTGATGTATATTAACTGCCTCACCTCAAAGGACAATATTAAAATAAGGTATACAGGACACAAAGAAAAAAGTAAATTTAAATATCAAGTATAACTTGTAGATGTACTATCATACAATTATTCATTCACTTAACAATATTAATTGAGCCATTATTGTTGGGAATCTAAAAGACAAGATGGTGAGGTTTTTCCTTTGGAGCATCAGTGCCCAAACTAGCTGCTTTAATTTCCTCTAGATATTGTTTCAATTTTATTAGATAAGAATTCCTCCTTTTCGCCTTGAAACTGATGCCAACACATTGTGAGTTCAAGGGCAGGGGGACCCACATATAAGTGAGCAGCCTCCCTGTATTCAGCTCCATTTTGCACTCCCACTCATTGCTGCAGTTGGTGTCTCCAGGTCACAGCCCTCTCCGTGTGGTGCCTTCCATCCAGCTTCCTCAGCCCCTGGGTCCTCCCTGTTTTCCCTGCTTCAGAAATTTGTCTTTTACTGCTTGCCGCCTCCCATCTCTTTATTGTTGGTGGGTTTTGCCTTTATTCCTTTACTTTTATTTGAATAGAGTACTCAGGATGAGAGGGGAGAAATGAGTCTCAATCTTCCAAAGACCTTCTAATTGTTTTTGTATGTTAACTCTTTCAGGCTATCAGGCCCCCAATATTATTCTAGATATTCAGCCTGGAGGCAATCATGTGATTGAGGATTCTCATAAAAAGGTATGTTATCAAGCCCCTCTCAGCTGACAGATTCCCAAGTAGAGATGCTTTTTATTTAATATTCAAGTTTTCAGTGGTTGCCACAGGGTTTATGACAAAGCTACTTCACAAAAGTCTGGTCTGTGGCTGAGACCCACAAAGGGAGGGAGGGACACCGAAGCAATCGAGAGAAAGCGCTCTCTGTTGTACTTGGTAAGTGAGCTCTGGTAAAGAAAGCTTTGAGTCTTAATTGTTGAAAGCCTTCCACCTCTGTCCCGAATAAAAGTATTCTTGCCATAAATTGCCGACTTCAGTGTTAGGTGAAGATGGGTAGACAAAGTGAAGCTTAAACACCGGCGTTTTACCACAGAGGTATTCTATCTGATTTTTAAAATGTGTTTCTTTTAGATTACAGCCCAAATTAAATTCCTGTATGAGGAACTTGGACTTGACAACACCAGTGTTTTTGAAGATCTTAAGAAATTTCTAAAATTCTGAAACGCTACGTTCAACTAGGAATTGGAAACAGTCAAATACTTCATAGTCTTATTTCCAATTGAATTAGCAAAAGTAAGATTTTTAAGTTATTTAATAATTTTTTTAAACGTGTTTATCCATCAAAATTTTGCTTAGTCTGTATCTCACATGCTTATACTGTTCTCTCCATTGATGCACATGCCCCATAACCTAGGAAAGTAGTTTTCAAATCATGCTCCTTAGAAGGACCTGGAGGGAGGAAGGAATTGGTGACAGAACTCTAGGCCTCCCATCCAATCAGTACAGCTTTATTTTGTCTGTTTCACTGGGATTTTCTTTGACCAGTTTACAAATCAATGTCCCGCCTCTTTGCTAATGAATGTTTTTACACACAGTGGCAGTGAGTCATCCTACAATTTTTATGCCTGCATTTTAAGGAAAAAGATAACATTCTTCACATTAAAATTCATTAGAGCTTTTGAAAAATCTGGGGTCCTAACATGTTTTTATCATGTTATTGATGCTATCTCAAAAAAGTTACAAGTTCCTACAAGTGATAATTTTCTTTCAAACATTTTTTCAAAGCACTTGAGAACCTTTCCTAAAGCAGTTACATTCAAGCTACAGAAATATCTGAGAATTAATGATTGTTCATAAAGTTTATCCAGCAGCATGCTATACATGAAACTACTGCAAATGCTTAAAATACCAGCAGAATGCCAGTGTCATCTCTTTCATAGAGGTGCCTAACACAAGGTGTACAGTATGTCTAATACACTGGAATAGCATGCGCGATTGGAAACAAAGCATCTGTCTCTGAAAGCTGTTCGGTGATGAAGGAGATTCTTCGTGTTGTGTTGAAGGATGAGTCCCTCTCCCTTGTTCAGATAAATGCCACTTGTATCAACTTCACTGCCTTTGTAGGTAGAATTGGTACTTAGTGTGATTCTCAGTCTTACGGGAAGATCTGAAATCATTTCCTGTAGATTTAGCAGTGTCGATTCTCCAAAATTCAGAACCACGATAAAGACTTTATCTATGCCATCCAGCTCTCTTGTGTACACGACACAGTGGCTATCATTCCTCAAATGGCAAAACCAGCCCCTGTTGAGGATCAGCTCATTGGCATGAAGTAGACTTAATTCTTGATATAACTTCAAAGCCGATCTGGGCTGAGTCTTTTGGACCTATTTTTTAAAAAGAATATTTACATAAATATTGAATTCTAAATTGTTTTTAAATATTTTCTGTATCTTGTAAGGAACTATTTACCAAAAACACTTGCTTCAATTTTGCCCCTTAAAATAACTGCCAAATTATAGGTATTAATAAGTAGATAATAATTTATATAAAAACTGATAGAAATTGCAAATTCAGGCTTTCAACTTGTATGGGAGTCATTGCAATATGCTTAGTGTTCTACTACATCATAGAATTTCTGTAGAGACCAAATTTGACAACTTTAGGAATCCCAAAACAAATGTCCGTATCTAAGTTAATGAATATTTAACTTGCCTAAATAAAGTCGCCTTGTGCTGTATTGTTACTGCCAAATGCCTGGAAGAAAAGCAGTATCATAGCAATGAACTTAGACTTCTGATGAATTTGGGCTTATTGGTTCTCTTTTATAGAATGTATAGGTTGCTGTTGTACAAAGAGATATAACTTCAGCAGACATGTATTTCTTGCATAGCTAATGATGGAATAGAAAGTTACAAAAAGGATGCAAAGCAAAAAGCTGCCTACAGTGAAAGTTAGAAATTGTAGATATTTTTAACCATAAAAGTAGTATATATCCATTAAAGATTTGGTTTTCTTGGCTGGGCGTGGTGGCTCACGCCTGTAATCCTAGCACTCTGGGAGGCCCAGGCGGGCGGATTGTTTGAGCTCAGGAGTTCGAGACCAGCCTGAGCAAGAGCGAGACCCCGTCTCTACCAAAAATAGAAAGAAATTAATTGGACAGCTAAAAATATAGAAAAAAATTAGCTGGGCATGGTGGCGCATGCCTGTAGTCCCAGCTACTTGGGAGGCTGAGGCAGTAGGATTGCTTGAGCCCAGGAGTCTGAAGTTGCTGTGAGCTAGGCTGACACCATGGCACTCTCTCTAGCCAGGGCAACAAAGTGAGACTCTGTCTCAAAAAAAAAAAAAATGTGGTTTTCTTATACAGCCATATAAATAAAACATATGCAATTTGATGTTGTACTTTTCATGTTTTTTGACATTTCAAGCATTTTCCCATTATATAGCCTCCATAAATTTAACCATTCCCTTTCATTTTAACATTTGTGTTTCTAGCATTTTCTTATATTTTTATTCCCCTCCCAATATTTTATTTTAGGATAGATTATCAGAAATTACTTTGACAAAGAATATGGACACTTGATACATAATGCAAAATTATTCTTCATAAGAGCTGTTGCCAAATCACTGATAATGTTCATTGTTCTCTTGCCAACCATGTTTACTGGGGTGGGGGATAGTTACTGTTCTTTAGGGGTGGGTGCCTAACATGTGGTCTTTAATGACTATCTAATGGGTGTTTGAAAAGCTGTGTATTCTCTGTTTATCAGGTACAAAGGTATTTATGGTATATATGTACACAACTTGTCAAAGTTACTAACATTTTCTCTAGCCTTAGATAATGCATGAAAAGCATATAGTTCAGTGCCACTCACATAAGAAGTGCCCAGTAAGTATTAGCTATTATTTTTGTCTACTTGATTTATCACTTTCTAGAAGTATGTTGAAGTCTCTCCCTGTAATTGTGGATTTGTCAATTTCTCCTTGCATTTCTGAGTACTTGTTTTATATATTTTCAGTCTATCGTTAGATAACCTGAGTTTTAGAAACATTCGTGATTTTTAGTGGAATATTCTTTTATCACTTTTAAAATTGCTTTTGTCTCATAAAATGCTTTTCATATTGAATTCTATTTTGTCTGCTATTAAATATTTCCAAGCCTGCTTTTTGTAACTTTATTTTTGACTAGGAAGAAATGCGTGCACATAGTATAAAATTCAATAACAAGAACATATACAATAAAAAGGTTTTCGTCAACACCATTCCCTAGCTTCCCAGTTCCCCTCCCAGAGACACTGTTTATATGTTGTTTCATTCTTATGTATCATATGAAATGATACATTCTGTATATGTAGACAAATATATGTAGACATATATATGTAGACATGTTTTCTTTCTCTACACAAATGGTGGCATGTTACCATTTTATACTGTTTTTTATTTAGAAATGATCTCATATCAATGTATATAGAGCTCCCTCATTCTTTTTAAAAGCTGCATACTAGTCCCATAATTGAACTGGTTTCTATTGATAAAATATTTAAATTATTTCTAGAGTCTTCTGCTGTTAAAAATTATATCACAGTCAAGATCCCTTGTGTATTTATCATTTTGCACATGTGCAAGTATTCCTAGAAACGTATCTAGGGGTGGAACTACTAGGTCAAAAAATATATCTGGTTTTTTTTTAAAGCTATAACTAGGTTGCTTTCTTTTTATTTTTCTTTTTATTATTATTTATCTGCTGTATATTTTAATTCTTTTTGTGTCCTTTGTTTTAGGTATCTCTCTTATGTCTGGATTTTTTGTCTTATCTGAGTATTTTTACCTTTTAATAGGTAAATTTAACCCATTCATCTTTGTGATTATTATTTGTTTAGATAAACACTTGAAGACTTATTTAATCTTTTCTTTATAGTTATACTATTGTTTTGGGTTTTTTTCTTTTTAGCTTTTTATTGGGTCAATTATTTATGTAACTTTTTTCCTTCTAATATTCTTTGAAAATTATACATTTTTATGTGTCTTATGGTTACCCTTAAAATTGTAATGACCACTTTAAAATGTTTTTCTCAACATCTGGAACAATGCTGTCCAATAGAACTTTCTGTAATGCTGGAAATGTTCTATATCAGTGCTATCCAATATGGTAGGCACTAGTTAATGAGCTGAAATATTACTGTGACCCAGAAACTGAATTTTTAATTCTGTTTAGTTTTAATAGTCACAGTAGTTAACGGCTACTGGACAGCTCAAATCTAGTTACTCTTTTTCCTGTACAAGATAAGCATGTTAGCCTGCTTTCTTTCTTTCTCCTTCCCTCCCTCTCATACACTACCACCACCACCTCCCATATAGAAACAGATCACTAAGATTTTTGTTCCAGAATACCTTATTTTACATTATGCATCAAAAATTATCCCTAAGTTTTGTCGTTTCCTTTTCCTCACTATATTGTGTATGTTGTGTCTCCCTTTTAGATTCAGTTTTGGTTTTGCTGGAGTCCTCTGATTATTCTTTCAAAAAGTGGCTATACAGGTAAAATTTAGTACCCTGCTCTTCCATCTCTATTTTGCTCTTACTCTTAAATGCCAGTTTGAATAGCTAGGTTTAGAATCAAGTTTCCATTACAACTTTGAAGATAAAGTTCTAATGTGTTCTAGTATCCCGTTGAGAAGTCTGATGCCAGTCCATTTCTCAGTCTTTTTCTCAGGCAGTCTATTTTCAGGTTTGGTTTCTTTCTGAGTAGTTTTAGGGTTTTCTATTTATCTTTGCCATTCTAAAAGAAGATAAAGTCTTCCTTTATCTTTGAATTATTATATATATTTTATTTCTTTGGTTATATGTTTCCTCCCAGTCTCTGTTCCCTTCTACAATTTCTTTGTTGTTGTATATTGAAATTCTGGATGGATCTTCCATGTATCAAATTTTTTCTTACACTAGTAGCTTCTTGGCCTTTTTTTCAGTGCATTCTGGGACAAACCCTGAATCAGTTTTTCAGCGCACTATTAGCACTTCTATTTCATTATTTATTTTGACAATATTTACATTTCTAAGGTATCTGTCTAATCACTTCTTTAAAGATGTCAAGGACCTGCCTGGTGGCTCACCCCTGTAATCCAGCACTTTGGGAGGCCAAGACAAGAGGATCGCTTGAGGCAAGGAGTTGAAGACCAGCCTGTAGCGATAGGTCCAGCCTGTAGCAAGACCCTATCTCTACAAAGAGTTTAAAAAATTAGCTGGGTGTGATAACGCGCACCTGTAATCTCAGCTACTCGGGAGGCTAAGGCAGGAAGATCACTTGAGCCCAGAATTTTGAGGCTGTAGTGAGCTGTGATCACACCACTGCACTCTAGCCTGGGCAACAGAGTTTTGAGACCCTGGTCTCAAAAAAAAAAAAGTGTCAGGGAGCTCCGTAAAACAACAATCTGGGGTAAAGTCTCATGTTTCTACAGTGTTCTGTTAGGAATGGTGTCTCCCTCTCATGGTTTTTGTTTTCCTCAAATGCCATGTAATTCTTTGTGATCCATTTGCTCTTGTGTTTTGATCTTCCTTGTTTGCCTGTCTTCAGTTGCCTACCTCTCATAATTGTGAGAAGCCAAATTGGATGTGGATCTGGCTTGTCTTTAGGCTGAGAGTTCTTTTCCTTCTTACAGTTATAAGCTTGCTGGAGTCCCACCATCCTCTCCTGGCCTCTGTGAGCTGAGTAGTAAAAGCTTTCATTTCTGAGCACATTCCACAGTGAATTAGCCAGAGGACAGCAGTAGAATCAGGTTTTCTTTTCCTTTTCTTTCTTTTGCTGCACTTATAGAAGTTTGAAGCTTCTACAAGCTATTTCAAGCTTTCCTTTACTCATTCCAACATTCATGTGATCACCAAACATGCCTTGGATTTTTTCCCCTAGGGAAATACTGCTGCAGCCAATTACAGCAGTTTAGGAAATTCCTACAGTGCTCTTACCTGTCCCTGTTGGAGCTATTTTCTCCTGTGTTTTAGACTCCAGTTTCTATGCTCTTGTTTCTCTGTAATGCTAATTTTACTTTCTTTTAGAAATTACTTAAATTCTCATCTGTTAGTAGCATTATTCCTTTCTAGGACTATTTGCATGTATTTTATTAAAATGGCATTGCCTGGGATTTAATGATTATGATTTAGTAGCCCTCTAGGCATCACTCATGATGATCATTTTTAAAGATTTTGCTAATCTGATAGAAAAAAAATTATTTTAATTTGCATTTACATTTTTCTGTCTTTGCTGGTGTGCATTTTTATGTAGGATTTCCTACATATTGGACTCAGATTGGCCTACAGGAATATTTTGGAAATAATGAAAATCAATAGAGGTATTCAATCCAAAGTAATTGTTAAATGTATATTATTTTGTGCTTTTAAGACCTACAACTATATAAAACAAAGCTTATACTATCCAGGAATCCTCAGTGATGCTTGGAGTGAGGAGTTGTGGGGACAGGAGACTCTGTGTGAAGTTCTATATCTGAATAATGTGGGGCATTTTTTCAGATTACTTAGTAGATTGGAATGAGAGAGAGTGCTATGAATTTCTTTTTTATGGAGACAGAATCTCACTCTGTCACCCTGGATAGAATGCAGAGGAGTCATCATAACTCACTGCAACCTCAAATTCATGGGCTCAGTGATGCTCCTGCCTCAGCCTCCCAGGTAGCTAGGACTACAGGCGTGTGCCACCATACCTGGCTAATTTATTCTGTTTTTTGTTGTGATCGGGTCTCACTCTTGCTCAGGCTGGTCTTGAACTCCTGACCTCAAACGATCCTCCTGCCTCAGCCTCCAGTAGTGCTAGGATTAGAGGCATGAGCCACTGTACCTGGCCTATAAATTTCTTAAGTATCCTCACGTAATGCCAGTCATTTCTCTTCCCCTAAATTAGATTGTTTACCAGTAAAATTCTCACTAGTGTATGACATTAATTTTTTGGGGTTTTTTTTTGTGTTTTTTTTTTTTTTTTTTTGAGACAGAGTCTTGCTCTGTCACCCAGGCTAGAGTGCAGTGGCGTCAGCCTAGCTCACAGCAACCTCAAACTCCTGGGCTCAAGCAATCCTCCTGCCTCAGCCTCCCGAGTAGCTGGGACTACAGGCATGCGCCACCATGCCCGGCTAGTTTTTTTCTATATATTTTTAGTTGTCCAATTAATTTCTTTCTATTTTTGGTAGAGACGGGGTCTCGCTCTTGCTCAGGCTCGTTTCGAACTCCTGAGCTCAAACAATCCTCCCGCCTCGGCCTTCCAGAGAGCTAGGATTACAGCATGAGCCACCGCGCCCGGCCTATGACATTAATTTTTGATCACTATGAGAAGAGAAAAAAGTATAGGCAAAAGCCAAAGGGTGTGCTTTTCTAGAACAGCTTCTTTAGGGATTTTCATGTCTTCTATCTCTTCAGGTAAATAGCCTTGCTCTCAAGTCCACATTACCCTAGGTTGATTGATTGATCTCCTTCCTGCCTGCCCGCCCACCTACCTTTCTCCCTCCCTGCCTTTTGAAGGAAAGAAAGGAGGAAGGGTAGTTCAACTTGCTGAAAATTTTCCATAAAATTTCCTTCATAGCTGAAAGGCCTTACTAAGGGCCATTCCAATGAAGAATTGTACATTCTGTATGATACTTCACGTGGTAGACTTGTGTACCAGTTTGTATTTTCACAAAAACGTGATTTATAAACTCCTTCCAAATTAAAAACTGCAAGGGAAGTTTGTGATTGATTTAAATATCAGGGTGTTAGACATGCTAAGGGTGAGTGTATGTTGTCAGTACAGAAACGCATTTCTTCCAGACTCAACATAAAATGTTCAGTGATACTTACTTCAACATTCACAGTGTGGTAATCTGAACTGATGGGTAACCAGGTGTGATTCGCTTCAGAAAAGCCAGCATTTGAGCTATTGTCCCACTGCATTGGTGACTTTGAGAGAAGGGTATTCTATGTCAAAAGAAAAAACAGTGGTCTGGTTATTAAAAGAAATATACTTTGGTCCTGATTCGCTTCATAATTATTTAATTCCCTTTAGTTCTTAGCTAGTGCTTATATTTATTAGCATTCATGATAAAAAGGCCTTAACATTTAGTACATACTCCAGTTTAACACTTTTAATTGGAAAATGGCAAATAACATCTTGAATTTTAAATAGACTGTACTAATTGAACTTTAATACATACTTGGAATCTTTGCTGCTTTTCCTTAAAAATGAATAATGTAGGATTTCATGATGTACTATTACCAACTTAGGCTACTTCATTCTACTGTGGTACAGTGATGGTGAATTTAAGAATACTGCCCTGTACAATTGAGCCTGAATTCTGTCCTGCTTATTTTTCCAGCCTGGTTACTGCTCATGAGTGCACACACACAAATTTAGGAGCTGATGAAGAGAAAGTTTCACTTTAATCAAGTATTAGGGAAGTTGGATCTCATACACTTGAAAGCTAACCATGCAAATGTAAAGGTTCAAGATCAGTCATCTACCCAGCAACACAATTGTGAAATCTGTAGCCTCAAACAAAAACAAAATGAAAACCGCTCAACTCTGAGGCTGTGCATTACACTTGACAACATATTAATGAAAGGAGAGTTTATGCTATGGTCACCTGAGATCTAGCAGGACAAAGAAAACTAAAGTAATATTGGGAACCATTATCCTAAGTGTGAAGTATCTCAAAAATGGAAAAACAAACACCACATGTACTCTCTAATAAATTGGAACTAATGGATGGGCACACGAGTACACAGAAGAAAGTAAAAGTCACTGGAAATCAAGC